TAAGAATTCCATTACTTTTTCTCAGTTTCTAAGACTTCGTCGTTTATGTAGTGATGACTCTGATTTCCACCACAAATCAGAGTCAATGTGCCAGTTTTTCGATGGCCAATACGGTGGCCAATTTACCATTTCAACTTTGTTGATATATCCAAATTATTTCGTTACTCCCACCGACGCAGCCCCAAACAGTTTCTTTCGAAACTATCAGCCTTTATTCATTTATAATTCACAATTATTATAAACTGCATAATAAATTTTGATTAATAAAAATCCACAAACACCTAACATTTTCGAATTAAGAAGGAAAAAAGCGGGGAATGGAAGTAAATTGATTTTGACCATTAGCCTTAGTTAATTTTCTAAGCATATTCTTGAGGAGAAAGCTATGAGTACACCGTATCCCTTTGTCAAATCATGATTGACGCTTAACGGGTTTATCTAAAATGTTGTAACTATCCAAATTTGAGAAGTAAAGGCATATAATAAAGTAAACTGCAAAGATGAAGCCATGTTCTTTATGTATATGTGTCGCCCTGCTTCCTCGCTCTCGGATGGGAGAGAGCTTCTTCTAAATTCCGCCTTTTAACGCAAGGAAAAGTATGAGTCAGAGCTTTGAAGAATTCTTCATATCGCAAACAATACACCCACGGATTAATTCCTGATGAAGTAAAAGCAAGAGCTTCGACTGATGTCCACACTGTGTAGTATAACAGTTGTCTGGTCAGGCCACATTTACGTGGGGTGAAATAATTCACTAAAGATGTGATTAGACTTGGTAACCAGCAGAAAACAAAGAGCCCCACCACAATGCCAATCGTCCATGCCGCCTTTGAGTTTTTCCTTCCTCTTCTTAGGGCCTCTTGACTCTGTAAAGTGTAGTTGTTTCTAATTTTCTTAGACTGGGCTGCTGCTGCTTTCAATATTCTGATAGAACAGAATATTATATTGATCATGGGAATCAGAACCGTGATGATTGTAAATGATAACCACAGCGCCACTGAACCATCTTTGACGAAGAATCTGGAGCACGGGAGAATGAAAGAGATGAACCAAACAGTGGCTATGAACAAATAACATCTCCTTTTGGTAAGAATATCTTGGTAGCGGAGAGGATGGAGGATCGCCAGATACCTGTCCATAGTGACGCAACATAAGTTGAACGTGGTGGCCACTGTTGTGTGGATCCAGAGATAATCGATAACTTTACCAGACGTCTGCACATAAGTATTTGCATCATATCCCACACATCTGGTGAAAATCCAGACTGGGTCTATTACAAGCCCTACAAAAAAGTCTGCGGCTGCCAACGAAGCGAGGAACAAGTTGGAGATTGTTCTGAGTGATTTGTTTCGAGCGACCAACCATAACACGATCGCGTTTCCAATAATGGCCGCTAAACCTGCGAGGCCATACCACGATGACAAAATTATCTTGGCTTCCAAGTTCAGCTCTTTAAACTCACTTTCGCATGCTTTGTCCATTGTATTATTTCTCTTTTCGCTGTGGCCGTTCTACACAAAATTCGGCGTCCGACGGTATAATGAAGCAGCACTAATTTTTGGCAACGAATGAATTCTATTAACATCCTGTTCTTTAAATCCTGTCGCCCCATCAATAAATATTAATCAAAGCTGTCAAAATCCATAGACATTCTAGCAATTCATTGGGCAGTTTTTCTTACATGGATTTTCGCAAATACAGAATTATTTTAAAGTAATATCCATGCATGATTATCCCCATCAACCTTAGGAGAGAATTCTACTTAATTGATCTCGGTTTCAATATTTGCCTGTTACAAGATGGTAATTTTCTGTTTTATAATTATTTGTAGAAGGAATATGTCGTTCGTAATCGGTCGCCTTAACTCGTTATCTCATAACAGGCAATTAACTTTTGCCAGTTTTTACTGTTACAGATCGCAGTTTGTAAACGTTCGTACGAATTGAGATGGATTCAGTTATTATCGAAATGTGTTGTGATCAGGGCTTCCATTAATGTCATTAATGAAACTTTGCCTCGTTTGAGATAAAGTCGCAAATTTTAGGTGGTATGCAGATGTTGAAGCTTTGTAAATACTGTATGGCGTCAACCAAAGACATTAATTTCTTGTGGTCACGTTTTACTGCACTCAAAATCGTAAAAAAAATGTTTAGTAGACGTTTTAATAGCGCGTATTCGTGACTGTTTCCGTCAATATTTAAGTTATACATGACCGTGAAACTCCTCTATTGACACTCACTTTAATTGCGTGCAAGTTAACACCAGCTGTAATTTGCATATTCTAATTTGACGAACGTGTCCAGCAGCTCAATGAATCATTTTCGATCGGAACTTCTCCGAACGAAAAATTAAAAAAAAAAAACCGGGGCTAAAACCAATATAGTGTATTAGGGCTTAAGTGTAAATTGAGAAAATATATAGATAAATCTTTACAAGTGAGACTGGACTTTGAAATTTCAAGGTTTATGTTAAGCTTAGAACCTTATTAAAATGGAGTTTTCAAAGTTCCTAGGGCCATAACAAGGACACATCTAGCGGCAACTTGCTCCTTCACACGATTTAGACATAATGGCTGTTCGGAGTTTGTCTCAGATCAGGTGGTTGGAGAAAACGTTCAATAAGAATTACTCACGGTTTTTTTCTCAAAAAAAAAAAAAGGGTTGTACTATTAATAATGACTTCTCGTTAAGTATTGCAATAAAATATTACACATTTTAAATACCAGTTTTGCTTTTATTAAGCATTTCCAATGCAATGAAAAACACTTGTGAAACACAGCTGTAATTTTTCTTGAATGTTAGTGGTTTGTTTAAGCATCCTAAAGCTAACTCTTGGGCATTTTTTATTTCTCAGGTTGACTGTAGGCTTAACTTGTAAAGAAATCAAGAGCGAAAGGACCAACAATCGGGTATTGAAACGGTGATTGTGAATTGGTTTGAAACGTTTGAAACGATTCCAAAGGCCAGATATCTAGATAGTTCGATGGAAATGTCGATGGGCTAATGCGGTCCACCTTTAAATCATTAATACATGCTTTTAAACTGTGTGCTTCAAAACATTCCTTCGATATTGGGGAAACGTTACCTTTTAAACTAGAGTGATAGACTGGGTATTTGCCTTCAAACTCAGCTCTAGCCAACGAATTTCGTATTGAACTGCTACCAGTGTTCAATGCCTTTGAACGAGGGTTCGTACTCGGATGAGTGAAAAACTGATTATGAAATAGGAAAGAAGAAACAAAAGACTAGAGAATTAGATCTAAATGTTTTTGATGGCGTTATTGTATTATAATAATCCAAAAAAAAATTGTTGGTTCTATTGTTTTTAACAGTGCAAAGTTTATTTGGAAATGTGGTTGGGGCTGTGAGCTTTGACATAAGTGTATAAAGAAAAAGTGTCTGATGAATTGCCTACTCCATGAAGTCTAGTTTCACTGCACCTATTATTTACAATAGCATATAAAATTAAGTAAGGTTTACTTCTATTAAACGTTTTACTTAGAAATAAGTTATTTTTAATTTTATCTTAAAAAAATATGTATAAACTAATATCAAAGATTAACTACTTTTTGGTTAGAGTAGAAGACAATGTGTTTTCTCTAAGAGTAGATATAACAACTGCAAAACATAGGTTTTTGATAATAATTATAGTGTTGAGAGATATTTACAGATCATTGTTTCAGTGTACAGTGTACAGATATTATCGGTGTACAGATCAATGTTTGCTGGCGAGCCGAATTTACAAACTTAATTGTGTCATTAACAAAATGCTCGAATATGTGGCTTTATTATCCAACTACACCTAGACGAGTACAAATAACGCAATAGACGAGTACAAATATCACGCGGTAGTTGTACTCGTCTATTGTAGTACCGGTTAAACAGGTTTTCTCGCATCGCGCAAGCGAAGAATTGGATTGTAGTTACGAAAAAAAAACAAATGGCAGACAACCTGAATCATATTTCCGACGACGAAGGGTCAGAATGGCTGGCAAATATAGATCCAAGTTCATCAGATGAATCGAACGAAGAAAAACAGCTTGACGACCAGAAAATTTCTTCATTTAATGAAGAAAATAGAAACAACAACGCGCCAATTCCGTTCCGCTTCGCACACTTCTGTCACGCACTCCCCGTAAATAAACATCTGCGAAATTCGCCCGCACTGAAATAACAGTTTGGCGT